CGTTCACCGGGCTGGTATTCCACGAAGCGTCGTCGAAGGTTGTAACGGTGGCTGTCGGTCGTCTGTTGATTCTTGATACGGAGCCGCGCAAGTTGTCGGGCTTCTTCGGCGCGATGAAGGTACTCGCTCACATCGAGGTTTTCTTCGTCGGTGACGTTGGGTAACATGGCATCGAGCGTCGTTGTCGGGCTCCTTCCGTAGACCAATTTGTATGGAGATATCTGCGTCGTCTCCTGCACCGCCGTGTTGTATGCGAAGGTCACACACGGAAGAATGGCGTCCCACGTCTTGTGTTCGACATCGACGTACATTGACAGCATGTCGGCGATCGTCTTGTTAAGCCGCTCGGTGAGGCCGTTGGTCTGTGGGTGGTACGCTGTCGTCCGGCGGTGGTTTGTTTGGCTGTATGCCAAGATCGCTTGAGTTAAGTCGGCAGTGAATGCGGTTCCTCTGTCGGTGATAAGGACCTCCGGGGCGCCGTGACGTAGGACGATATTTTCGACGAAGAACTTAGCTACCTCGGATGCACTGCCTTGTGGCAGGGCTTTTGTCTCGGCGTAGCGGGTGAGGTAGTCGGTAGCTACCACGATCCACTTGTTTCCGAAAGCCGACGTCGGGAACGGCCCCAGTAGGTCCATACCAATCTGCTGGAAAGGTCGGCAAGGTGGATCAATTGGCTGCAGAAGTCCAGCTGGCCTTGACGGCGGTGTCTTGCGTCGCTGACAGTCCCGGCATGTCCTCACATAACGAGTGACGTCGGTAGTAAGACGTGGCCAGTAGTACCTTTCTTGTATCCTCGCGAGCGTGCGAGAAACACCGAGGTGCCCTGCCGTCGGGTCGTCGTGCAGGGCCTGCAGGAGTTCTGGTCGCAGAGCTGAAGGCACCACAAGGAGGTACTTAGCCCGAAGCGGTGAAAAGTTTTTCTTTTGTAGAAGACCGTTTCGTAGAAAAAACGACGCAAGTGCGCGCTTGAATACCTTTGGGACTTCGGCGGTCCTGCTTTCGAGGTATTCTATTAGGGCCTTAAGTTCCGGGTCGGCCCGCTATCGTTCAGCGAAGTCGTCGGTAGTGATCGTTCCCAAGAAGTAGTCGTCATCCGGGTCGTCGGGTAACGGTTGGTCGACAGGCGCACGAGAGAGACAGTCGGCGTCGGAGTGTTTTTTGCCGGACTTGTAAATGACAGTAATGTCATATTCTTGAAGTCTCAGGCTCCATCGTGCGAGGCGACCTGAAGGGTCCTTCAAGGTGGCTAGCCAACACAAGGCGTGGTGGTCGCTCACAACTTTGAAGGGCCTGCCGTAGAGGTAGGGGCGAAATTTCGACGTAGCCCAGATGATGGCGAGGCACTCCTTTTCTCTTGTGGAATAATTTGCTTCTGCTTTGGATAGCGATCGGCTGGCGTAACTAATAACCCTTTCAAGTCCGTCAGCCCTCTGCACAAGAACGGCGCCAAGACCTACGCTGCTTGCGTCAGTATGTATTTCTGTCTCGGCGAATTCGTCGAATTGGGCAAGTAACGGAGGCGTCTGGAGGCGATGTTTAAGCTCCTGGAAAGCGTGTTCCTGTGGCGTTTCCCACTTGAACTCCACGTCGGCCTTGGTAAGGTTAGTGAGAGGATCGGCGATGCGGGCGAAGTTTTTCACGAACCGCCTATAATAGGCGCACAGGCCCAGAAATCGGCGTACGGCTTTCTTGTCAGTGGGCGGCGGGAAGTCGGCGATGGCGTCTGTTTTCCGAGGATCGGGACGAACTCCAGACTTGCTGATAACGTGCCCCAGAAACAAGAGCTCCTCATACGCAAATCTGCACTTTTCTGGCTTCAATGTGAGTCCGGAAGTCTTGATGGCTTGAAGTACAGCTTCAAGGCGCCGAAGATGCTCGTCGAAACTCGAGGAAAACACGACGACGTCGTCCAAGTACACAAGGCAAGTCTGCCATTTCAATCCTGCCAGTACTGTATCCATAACGCGTTGAAAAGTTGCAGGCGCTGAGCAAAGGCCGAAGGGCATCACCTTAAACTCGAAGAGGCCGTCCGGTGTTATAAACGCCGTCTTCTCTCGGTCTCTTTCGTCGACTTCGATTTGCCAATAGCCAGTCTTGAGGTCCATTGACGAAAAGTACTTGGCGTTATGGAGCCGATCAAGTGCGTCGTCTATTCGTGGGAGAGGATACACGTCCTTTCTTGTAATTTTGTTCAGGCGGCGATAACCGACGCAGAAACGTAGGGTCCCATCCTTTTTCTTCACTAACACCACGGGGGATGCCCATGGGCTCTTGGACGGCTGGATAATGTCATCCCGCAGCATTTCATCAACTTGTCTCTTCATGGCCTCACGTTCTCGCGTCGAAACCCTGTACGGACTCTGACGGAGTGGTCTGGCATTTTCTTCAGTTATGATGCGATGTTTCGTGATTGGGGTCTGCCGAATTTTCGATGACGACGAAAAGCAATCTTCGTATTGCAGGAGCAGGGCCTTGAGCTGTTCTTGCTTATCGTTCGGAAGTCTGGGATTGACGTCGAAAGCTATGGGAGGTGTTTGGTTCCTCTGAGCAGGTTCCGCAGAATCGGCGAGGGCGAAAGCACTGGTGGCTTCGGCAATTTCTTCGATGTATGCGACCGTTGTTCCTTTGTTCACATGTTTGTACTCATTGCTGAAATTCGTGAGCATAACCGTTGCTTTGCCTCCCCGCAGCTCTGCAATTCCTCTTGCGACGCAAATATTTCGGGTCACCAACAGATACTGACTGCCTTCAACGACGCCTTTGCCTTCAACGACCCCGTGACATCTGGTGGAGGTGCTGCTTCGTTCATGTACCGCACGCCCCCGTCAAGCCGTGTACCCAGCACCTCCACCAGATGTCACGGGGTCGTGACGTGGCCGAAGACAGGAGACTTCGTGTCGGGATTTAACTGTTTATTTGGGCGAACCTGTGCCCGGTAAACAGAAAGTCTAATTACAGCAGCAGTCTCGCACAGATAGCAGTCTCGGACTGATAGCGGCGAACGGAGCGTCGGCCTTCGATCAACAACAACTGGCAAGCGGCGAAGCGCGTCGGCATTTTATACTCTTGCCGTCGAATGTTCTAGCGTTATCACTGGCGGTGGCGTAGCTTCCAGAACAATCTGTACCGTTCGCACAGTGGGCGTGATCTTATCGAAATGATCTACTACAGTCCGGAACCTTCTAGAAAACTGCAGGCGCGGTTTGCGCTGAGAATCATGTGGTGTTTTGAAACGATAACAAAAACTTGGGAAATGGAACGTGGCAATATCACAACTGTGCGACATCTGGTGGAGGTGGTTTCTTTCATGTTCTGGGCGCCCCCATCAAGCCATGAACCCAGCTCCAGTGCCAAAAAAGATACGCGACGCCAACCTTGAGCCTGACATCAATTTCTTCAAACATTAATCTTTTTTAGATTACTGCGTAATCAATAACATAACTAGTGGTAATGGCAGTTCATTTCTCCGATCTTACCTAATCATTTTTAGATTACTGCGTAATTTTCAATAAAGTAAGTAGTAGTAATGGCAGTTCATTTCTCTAATCTTATCTCAACACTGTAGCAGCTTGGTGCAGCACATGGCAAATAGATTTAAACATGCGTAAATGTAAGCAAATGTATGTAAGAGGATATGCAGACATCTTGCTAACATACTAGGTAAATGTCTTACACAATCGGGTCAGCTCATATATATAATTAGGTGTTCTTATCACATTGAACTTATCTCGGGCACCTCACACTGAATACGTTACTAATAATGCCAATTACAAGTTAGGCTACATGCATTACAACTTCTCAAAACCACGATATACACTAAAACTACTCCTATATGAAACACTATTACATCCCAAACTTGAATATGCCTCTTCTGTGGGAGACCCTTGCCACGACAATTTGATTCACTTGTTTGTACAGAATAACTCCATACGCTTGAAACCTTTTCACTGTAATTGCATTGCTGGTATAACTTCAATGAAATCCATTCGAAGCCTTGCTTCTTTTGCACCCCCTTGGAAAATATCCCATTTGGCTTCATTTCACAAATTATTCTGTCATACCACCCTGCATGACCAACTAATCCTGAATCCCCAGTACATATCCCATTGCAGTGACCTCGTCATAAGGTTGGCATGGCATTATGCAACTCCCAGTGTTTTCATCTTGTACATTGGTACATTGAAACCAACTACCTGAAGACATGTCACTATTAGTAATTGTTTTCCAATAAACTTTACTCGGTATTCTGTAATTATCCAAAATAGACTAACTAATACTCTGTATTTACAGGCTGAATTATGTATTGTGTTTGTTGTCCTTACACAGCTAACATTGTATAATGATGAGTTTATTCTTTGTTTAATAACTTTTCATGCTGCATTTTCCTTGTCTACTTTGTAACCAGTACCCTCCATTAATGCCGTAAGGATTTTGAGAGTAAATAAAATAAAAATAATATGCAACTGAATGCTGCAAAACGAAGTTAAATGAAGAGATTAGAAAGTCAATACATTTTGATGTTTCTTAGCCCCTACAGATACAAATAGAAAAATCAAGTGGTGTACACAACTGTGTACATAGCGTGTCAAATGGTTGACATTCATGCAGCATTCCTTGCAAGCACTGAAAGGCGATGCTTTATTTTTTTTTTATGACAACTTAGTCGGATTTCAGGGGTTGGCACTCCTTTTAAGAAGTGGAGTTTGCTTGTTTGGTATTAAACAAAACCCACTTCTTGCTTCAAAAACTAACATTTTTCAGGCAAAGTAACATGAAGTATCAACATTTTCTGGCTTGCTCTTGTAATTGTTACAGTTCATTTATAATTTTAGTGAAGTAAAAGGTTAAATTATGTGGCAGCTTTGTGTTAGTAACAACAACAAAGCATTCAGAAATACTAGACAAAGACAGCTGCTGTTCTTATTACAGTACATGTCTTTAATGAGATGAACGTTAGTATACCTTGTGTAGCACATGTGAGAAAAAGACTCGACAGGTTTTCACACAACCAATGTTTTCTTTATTTTCTGTCCCCCTCGCGCCAGTATTGCTGCTGCATCGCACGTGATCACGCGCATCCTCTTTTTTCATCTCGACGCAATCCCCTCGCTGTTGGCGGCACTACAACCCAGTGGCATTCAAGCCCTTAGCACCGAGGTTCACACTGTTTTTGGTGGCCAGCCTGCAAGTAGGAAAGATACCAAAGTGTTTTTAAGTACCGAGTTCTGCGACCTGCTTTCAAGTCAATTTTCATTCTAGTTTCTCAAAACTTTGCAAGAAAATATGAGGAAATGGAAACAGTCAGCAATCCTAGATGTATATGAACTATAGTACAAGTCAAAAAGAAGGCAGGAAATTGAACACACAGAGAAGCACACAAGCAGCACAATAAAGAGGACTCCAAGACATAATGTATACAACACTATGAAAAGTGCATTGTGGATGACGAATTTTGATCACTAAGCTTACCAGATATATTTTCGGCAATCAGCACACCTATGCATGCACACCTATGCAATCAGCACACCTATGCAGATGCATGTCAACTGTGGGCACGCAGTATTGAGTTAACATGGCTCACATTTTTGTATGCTTCATGGGCATGTAGGACTGCCTTGTGGGGGTGCGTGGCAATGGATGACGGAGCTTGTGCGCTGAGAAGCAGCAACGGTGGCTCAATAAGGAATGAAAGCACCATTTGCAAGAAAAAAGAGAGTTCAATTACTTTGTATTAACAGTGTGTTACTATTATGTTCTTACTGTACCAAACTCATTAAAATTAACATTGCTGATTTTATTATTTACAAGTAAGCAAATAAATACACAAGTGAAATAAAAACTGTCTGTTTGCATCATTTTTCACACACCCCATGGGCATCGAGAAGCTAGACGAGAGCATCTGAAGCTTCTGGTGAGTAGGGTACAATGACGATAAATCTATTCCAGCTTTATTTAGTGCTCATAAGTATGTAGGATGACTGCCAGTTGGGCGTGTTGGTAAAGGTTCATGATGAAACAAGCGCAAACAAGTGCAGTGTACTCTCCGAGTCTGGGCTCATAAGTAATTCAGTCATTCAAATGCAAGCTCTGAAGGCCAGAATGCAAGGCAGCACCCCAAGTAAGTCTTTCACTTTCAAGTGACTATGATAGTCCTCCACTGCTTTGCTGTTTTTGTACCGCAATAAAAAGCATACGTCTAAAGTGTCCAACATTCCAACGGCTTCTCTGGCAAGTGTGTAGAAATCCTGAGAAAAAAGTTTTTTATTCTGCCTTCAGTCTTCTTCTATCGGAGTGATGAACGCCCAGAACGATGGCTGGTGGACGCTATCACAATGGTGTGAAAGTCTAAAACTGAAACCGTGTGCAGTTTTTGCAAGGCCTTCACCAGTAATACTACATACACCGTACTGGTTGTATAAAGCATGGAAATTGTCAGATAATGTATTACGGAAGTTTCTCCAGCTTTGTTTAGTTAGCCTCAAAAATCACCACAGTTGAGGGGAAGAGTTTGTTCTAGCAACACTGGTACGCCAGCATTGTGAAACGAACTATAGTGGTTTTACTCCTGCCAAGTGTGCATGCAACTAAAACACACATGAAATGTCTTTCACAAAACAGCAGAAGGTCTCTGCTGTCTTGCAGTTGTGTTTAGGTGTTCTGCGTTGCATATTGAATGAGAGCCAGCAAGGGCAACATGATGAAGCGAAACGTAATGGCAAAATGTTCTCCAATGTAGAACTTTGGTAAGTACTGTTGTGCACTTTAGGCACAAAGGCTCGTGCAACATTACTAGATGACATTGGACCCACGGGCAAGGTTTGAAAATTTACTGAAGTCAGTTGTGCTAATACTTGCCGAAGACATTTTCTTTAGAGCGGCGCCAGACGCAGCACTCTTTTTTCTCTGCCATAGGCAAGCACGCGACCGTCTCGCCGGCAGTGCCGCGGTACCTTTTTGAGCGCGTGATAAAACAAGCAAAAATACTCTCTTGTGCAGTCTAAAGTTGTCTCAAGTGAATGAAATGCAATTTCAAGTTAAACATGTTCGTTTTTAAGCAAAATCAGCCTACTTGCGAGCATTTCTGTGTCGATAAATAGAACCACATCGCTGCTCGGTGGTGCCAGCGGCTGCTTTGTAGATTTTCAACATCAAATTTACTCCCTTTATAAGGTACGAAAACATGCTCATTGCTGCTGATGAGATTAACAATCTTCTCATTTTCACCACATTGAGCAAAAAGTTCTGTGCAGTAGACAGTCCCTTAAAAAATTGTACCAGAACATTACAGCTTCATTGCACTAAGAAAGCTGGAAATTGATTACAAATGTCGAGCCCTTCTCACAGCGAATTCCGAATGTGCATGAAACCTGACAAGATAGCTTGTATATGCTTAGTAATCTTCAGTTCTACCATTCAACATTTGATTGAAAAATATAGGCCTCCAACAGTTCGCCCTGTCAGAAAACATGCATGTGATTTTCGGCCACAACTTCTTACACACACCTGTCCGAAACAGCCAGAAGAAGCAAGAACTGCAAGGTTTAGTGATAGGCAAATAGTTATGTGAGGTTGAAAAAGTAGTAATTTGGTTCAATCATTTAAAATCAAGCATTTTTATTATAATCCAATAACCTTAAGAATTTTACGAATAAGAACTAGGCTTGTACGAATACCACATGCGCTTGTGTAATTTCCTCGCCTCTTAACAGTGTCCTTTTCTGCTCTTATACCAGGATTGTCTCTTCCTTGTAGATATCAGCGAACTCACTTCAGAGTCTACTCACTCTAACTCGGATCGAGGCGCTAGTCTCAAAATGAGAGAGTCCAGTTTAAGATTTCTGTGAGTGTGCGTCCAAATGAGTCCCTCTTTGGAAAATTTTGGCGATTCTGAGTCCGAGCGAGTCCAAAGCGCAAGATACATTTCCTGAGGGAATCTGAGTTAGATTTTTGTTTGCCAAGCTATAGTCATATCTACTCGTTTTCAGCATTACTATCTGCTTTATCTAGATCAGCGTTCATACTCTCGTTAATGCTCACATATTTCAAAGCCGTGTCTTTTATATACCATTTCAATATTTATTGATCTGTGGCATGAATTACATGGTGGAAGGCCTTGACCTTTCCCTTACCATTGAAAACTAAAGGAAATTGGTGACAAATATATATTGCGCTGTCATCTCTTTCAATAAAAAGGACCTTACTGGTTTACGAGTACTCATAACTCGTATTCGAAGGCACCATATGAAAAGGTGCCAAGAAGAGCATCGATTACGTGAAATTTCTGTGTTAGAAAGCAATGGCACTGTGGTCGAAAAAGACAGCGAGTCCGATCGAGTCCGGTTGAATAAATTTTCCTGATAGTGAGTACGACTTTCAAGAATGTTTATTGAGTCCGAGTCTGAGCAAGCTCCACAAGTTTTTCTGACTTACGCTGTCTTGGGCTGAAGCAAAGTGGAAGCAAGTTTATATTAAATGTGTGATTTAAATATGACTACATTGCAAGTTGTACACAGTAAAATATTTGTGTTTAAAGGTTTCCTACTTCGCCCATATAACAAGCTTTTAAACCTAATAGGGCCCTCCAACACTTCGAAAAGTGCACTGTTGTAGCCAAACACCGTCAGCAGCTAACACGAGAGATTATGGAGGCCAATGAAATGCAAATGCTGGGTGATCGATGTATCAGCCTGCCTTTGCTTGCTCTGACTAAAAAAGAAAGCGAGTTTCTGGCTTTGACACAATTGATTGTGAACTTGTGCTGAGCTGTGGCGTTGTAACCTTATAATGAGATGATGATTGTCTTGCTGTGATGCAATACATTGCGCGGTGGTGTTCCGTCATAAGTATATATTTCCAGCATTTCCGTTAATAAAATTTCAGTTGAAGTCAGCGCTCTTTCTGTCCTTGTCTCTTCTTCTGTAGTTACGTCGTAACTACTCGTAGTCTTGCGCTGTACAAATATGTTGATTCCCTATCACCAACTAGCCCAAACATCTGTCTTATCAAGTTACGAAATAAAAACACTGTATACCCAAAATTTCCAGAACAAAGAAAATTCAGAATATACATTTTGAGAATAGAGATGACCCAAGAACAGTACAAAAAATTTATAAATGATGCATATGATGGTTCTATTCAAATAGACAAAGAAAATTGGAAGCGAGGTGCCACCTCGTTGCTTGTGCCGTGCGGTATAAAGCATTGCTTGATTTTTTTTTTTGGTAACACACATGAACTCAGTTTTCTCGATAACTTTTGGTTATTATTGTGATAAGAGCCCAAAAGTGTTTTAATATAGATGATTGATATATGATGCCACTATAAATACAAATGTCCAATGAACTTCGCTGTTTAAAATTAACAGGGTTGCGGGCACTATAACCTAACTCAGTCTTGAAAGGTGGCTTCATGGCAGTGCGAATATCCCCTAAGTGGTTGGTTTCACCGCACAAAAAACCTATGCGGCAGTGAAACCACCTTTCAAATCGGTCACACACGGTGAAGTATGTCTCACAGGCGCAGCCACTCAGTGATGTCCCGTGCAGGAAATTTTTGCTTTATCAGCGAATTTTCGCCTGTCATTTTGAGCCAAAAAGAATCTTCGCGATATTGCAGGGTATTTCAGGAATGGTTAAATTCTCATATGACGACCGATAATTAGCGGTCATAGTGCGCCTTCATCTGCTGTAATCGGTTCTGGTGCATGCACCAGGCTAGCAGAACCCTTGAGATTTGATATACGCGAAGCGATTTCTAGTTCATTATTGGTGTTAGACTTGAAGCCCGCAATGTGCAGTGTACTATCACTATATGAATGAATATGACATGGCTTTGTTGTGCGGCAGCGGATGGGCTAGTCATGATTTCAAAAGTGGCCAGTACGTCATACACGTGTAATTATAGTGTTTGCGTAGATGAGGGCGGAAATTAGTACTGTTATGGAGGGAAATATGCTGGAACTTTCGTCAACGTTAACAGGGAAATATCCCCGAAATAGGGAATTTTCATGTCTATGAATGGAAATTCTTCGACGTAGAACGAAACATCACTGGCCACAGTATACATGCTGGATCGGCGGTGACGTGAGACCACTGACCCAGTCCACGAAGGCGATCGCTCCACGAAGTTCGTCCTACCACTGTGGTTGTGACCGTCAAGTTTCTACGATTGCCGATCGCGTTG